TCCCCCCTCTATGAGGAGATTTGTAGGTTTGAAGTAGTGGACGCGGTCCTATACCACCATGTGAAGGAGGTACTCTCCGAGACACTCGACAGAAAACAAGATCATTCTGTGCAATTTCCTCAACATGGCAATTGAACATGTTGGGGACAAAGACTCATTTATAACCAAGGGCCTATCTGAATTCAGGGTGTCTTGTAGCCCTAGATTCAAACCAATGAAGCCTGTTTAGATTTCATTATGTATATTCATCCTTATTATTATTATTATTTTCATATTTACTTATTATTATTTTTTTAAATTTATTTTAAGTTCATTTTTCCCAATAATATTTTATGAACGATGTAATAAAAGTAGATTCAATCTCAATCTCTCTCTCTATCAAGGGTTTATTTTTTAATATATCGCCGCCATTACCTCCTGTGTGCAGATGGACTTCTCAAATTTAAAAACTTTCAGAAGAACCTACATATATTGATGAAAATTATGAAGTAATTTTTTTTTAATGTATTAGGAGTATAAATAAGTTTTGCAGTTTTTTTTTTTTAATTGAAGCTTTATTGTGAAAAAAGGTAAGACATTTAATGTTCAAAGTATTGTCTGTCGCTGCAACTACCTTTTTCCATCTTTCTGGCAATTGACGGATTCCATCGCAGAAAAAGGCCGACTCTTTGGCCCCTATCCATTCATTGTTCCATTTTTTACTTCATCATAATTGGAGAAGTGCTGGTCAGCCAGGCCATCTTGCATTGATTGGAAGGAGCAATGTCTGGGCTATATGGTGGGTGGGGTAAGACTTCCTATTTAAGTGTTTCAAAGTACGTTTTAACGGGTGCTGATGCATGTGGCAGAGCATTATCTTGTTGCAAAATAACTGTCGTGTCTATTGGCGTATTGCAGCCATTTTTCTCACAATGTTCGGCTCAAATGCATCAATTGTCTTCAGTAGACCTACTCTGTGATCCTTTTGTTTGGTTGTAGCAGCTCACAATATACCACTCCAAGCTGGTCCCACCAAATACACAGCATAATCTTCCTGCCATGAATATTTGGCTTGGCCATCGAGGCACGGCCAGGGTATCCATACATTGCCTGTATCTTTGTCCACTGTCTTCTTTGATATTGTTGACTTTGCTTAGAATTATTAATGAAACTGATTCCCATAATTATTAATTAAACATTATATTTATTGATTTACAAGAGAGAGAACAAAATATAAAAGGGAAACTAATATTGAACAAAGGAACTTTTTTTTGTTTCGGTTAGCGCCTATTTACCTGTGAGCTTACACACACTCTGTGGTAACAATTAATTAATATATATACAACACACGCTCCCCTGTGTGTAAGCCCTAATCAGCAAGTCCAAGGCTATCTGCACATTTCCGTAGTTTATCCTTATAGTCCACACCATATCTTTGATTGCATCCAACAGCAACTGGTCTGGCCTTTCTTTTATGTATGCCGTCATTTGATGTTTTCTTCGTACTGTAGACCCATTTACTATTGATGACTTTCATGCCATTTTCCCTTGGTACTAGTGTCCATACTTTATGCTTCTCTATCTCACTGAGCTCTTCTTCCATTGCTTTGTGCCATTCATTTCTTTCTCCACTATCCATTGCTTCTTTAAAGTTCTCCGGGATATATTGTTCTATTTCCATAATTAAGTTTGCATCATTCCTACCTTTTATTCTTTGTGAGCATCGAACTCCTTCTTTGATTAATTTTCTTTCTTGTTCTTCAAGTCTTGCTTTGTGCCGTTCTTCTAAGATGCTCTTTGTTTCTCCTTTCTTTCTTCCTCCTTTTACACATCTTTCCTGTATTGGTTCAGTTTGTGTTGAGTCATTTTTAGTGTCACCACCTGGTTTTACTGAAGTATCCTCCTGAGACTTCATTTCACTCTCTGTGACAGGATTGTCTTCTTTCAAGATAAGAAAGTCTTCAACCATTTCTTCACAATTTACTTTATAGGTCAAATTATCACAATTAGTATCTTCCTGAATATTATTTGCATAATCAATTCCTCTCTTATCTTCACTAAATTTTACTGATCTGACTTCATGGATTCTCTTTGTCATTATATCATATATTCTGTAGGCTTTTCTTTTAATGGAATAACCAATAAATATTCCCTTTCTACCCTTTGGTGAAAACTTGTTTCTTCTTGGTTTGCTCTCAAGCCAATGTGTCTAACATCCAAATATTCGAATGTGTTTGACCAATGGTTTCCTGCCATTCCATCTCTGCATAGGTGTATGGTGCTTGATATACCTGTGGGGGGTACAATTCTTAATGTATGCAGCTGTAGCAATTGCCTCTGCCCAAAACTTCATGGGTAATTTTTAGTCAGTAAGGTTCTCACCTGTATCTATAAGAGTCCTATTCACTCTCTCTGCGACTCCATTACTTTGTTGTGAGTATGTGGTGGTAAGTTGGTGATGGATCCCACTTCTCTTGAAAAGTCCTTCAAATCTAGAGTTACAAAATTCAGTTCCATTGTCGGTTCTTACATCTTTTATTCTAAGACTTAATTTGTTTTCGGCTCTTGCTTTAAATTCTTCAAATCTCTCAAAGGTCTCATCTTTTGATCTCAGGAAATATACAAAGATTCTTCTACTGTAATCATCTACTATGACAAGAAAATACTTAGATCCTCCTAAAGATTGACATAGCATTGGTCCACACAAATCCATATGAATCAACTGCAGAGGCTTAACTGTATAATTTTCTGTAATATTACAGTAAAACCACTCAATAGTGAAGCCCAATGGGACAGAGCTTTTGGTTCACTATAGCCACGGTTTGGCCATTTTTTTGTACTTTTCAAAATTTTTAGACCGTATAATTAAAGGACAGCCATACACACAGGAAAAAGCTGCCTATTAATAGTGGTCACTTTGTTTTAATTCCCTTAATTGACCAATTTCCTCATATTAATACTGAATAATAAAATAAATCATTAGATGATAGGTTCTTCTTGTCATTAGCATACATGCATCTCTATGTCTAATTTCAAAATCAAGACAAATCCTAGGCAAAGTTTTATTAAAGATATAAAATGATTTTAAAACATCATTATCACATTATATAATACAATGTTTACTTGAAAAAATGTCTCTAATACCTTGTTGCTTCAAAGGACTCTTCAAGCATTGCACCATTCAAAGAAAGTTAGTGTTTTTCTTCCATTTCATGTTTCCACATATTCTTCTAGGTCCAGATTTCGTTTTTTTTAACCTGTCATGCAAAACATTTCTGCATAGTTCATTGCATAAAAATAGTTTTTGTTTCATCAAGGGACCGTTTATTTGGACTCTTTTTTTTTTTTTTTTTTGTAGCCTTAAAACGTACGATCGCGGCAAAAGTTGAGGTTGATTCCTCTTTGTAATAATTTTTAATAGCTTTATATTTTATCTTTCATAATAGAAAAGTTATATTCTCTTATTCTAATATTTTCTTAACATTTTGCCTGTGTTGTTTCGCTTTGAAAAGTTCTGAAAATGGCCCTTTTTTAAAAAGAAATAACGTTTTTTTTTTAATGCCTTTGATTTCTTCAATTTGGAAGCCATTTGCATTTTTTATATTTCAAATTTAATGGATGCAAATATATTCTATTTAATAAAAAGTATAATGTGTAAAAATTTATACAAAATATGCAGCAAAATAAAGTGCAAAAATCAAAACAAACAATGCCGCTAAATTTATTGTTTTGAAATCGTGATCCGCGAGCTGAAACCTGCTCAAAATTTTGTTAATTTTTTTTTTAAATTACAATTCTAAGTACGTTATAAGCATAGTATTTTTAATAGATTTTATTATTTTGGGACCGAAAATAGGTTCGTTATAGGGGTAGTTCGTTATTTTAAAAATCGCAAAGTTCATTATATTCTCTTATTTTAATATGTTCTTAACATTTTGCCTGTGTTGTTTCGCTTTGAAAAGTTCTGAAAATGGCCCTTTTTTTAAAAAAGAAATAACGTTTTTTTTTAATGCCTTTGTTTTCTTCAATTTGGAAGCCATTTGCATTTTTTATATTTCAAATTTAATGGATGCAAAGATATTCTATTTAATTAAAAGTATAATGTGTTAAAATTTATACAACATACAGCAAAAATAAAGTGCAAAAATAAAAAAAAACAATGCCGCTAAATTTATTGTTTTGAAATCGCGATCCGCGAGCTGAAACATGCTCAAAATTTTGTTGTTTTAATTTTTTTTTTAAATTACAATTCTAAGTTCGTTATAAGCATAGTATTTTTAATAGATTTTATTATTTTGGGACCGAAAATAGGTTCGTTATAGGGGTAGTTCGTTATTTTAAAAATCGCAAAGTTCGTTATAACGATGGTATTTTCAATGGAATGGAATTGGGAATCGGCGTGGGTTCGTTATAAGGGAAGGTTCGTTATATCCAGGGTTTGTATTAGCGGGGTTTTACTGTATATGGCTTCTGCACCAGTTTCCCCATTATGCATGCTTCGCACTCTGGTAACCTTTCAAATTTTAGATCCAATCCTCTTACAATATGTCCTTGAATAATTTTTTTCATGTATTCTTCATTAATATGGTTTAATCTTTTATGCTATAAACTTATATTGCTATTTTTATTTGATAAATGTGTATTTATAACCATGACATTTTCATTTTTTGCTATTGGTACATTTCTTAGCTTTGTTTCCATCATAAACATTCTATCTTTTATATATGCTTCAGCAACTAAATCATTCCCTTCATTATAAATTTTTGCTCCATCCTTATTGAAAATAACTTTTTTTTTTTTGCTTATCCCTAGTACACGTGGTACAGGCCATGATAATCATGGTGGGTAGTTAGCGACTGCTTTTACTGTAAGCGCACCACATGTCTACACATGTGAAAAGCAGTTCGACTTTGCACTTACAAATGCCAGAGCCCCGTTTGGTTACTTGCACTCGCTGGTGGGGTTGGACTTTTGCAAGAATCGGGGGCCATTGGAGCATTTTTTTTCTAAACAGAAAAAAGTGTCCAATGCGGGAATCGAACCCGGGTCCTAGTGGTCGAAAACCAAACGGTTTAACCTTGAAAATAACTGAATTTCCTTTGTTGACTAATTCGTATACTGACAAGAAATTATTCCTTAAATTTGGTACATGCAAGATATCTTTGATGTGAATATTTTATTGGCCTTCACTTGTGCATGTAGTAAGTCTCATATCTCCTTTGGCTATGGCTTGGGTAGTTTTGCTCTTCTCAGCTAGGTTGATTTGACTTTCATAATCTACCACATTTTCCATCAAAGTTAGGTTTGGGGTTAAATGTGCGGTGCATCCTGAATCTATACACCATATTTGCCTCTCATTTCTCCCATCTGGTGAATCTTCAAATTCTTTTACATATGTTTCAAATGCTTGCTCATTAAATCCACTTTTCATAGTATCCACTAGGTTATTTGAATATTCCCTATTGTATTTGTGATTTCTATAATCTGGAGTCTATTTCTTTTGATATCCTTGTTTCTGTTTATCTCGAAACCAGCAATCATTAGCTAGATGTCCCTTTTTATTACAAACAAAACATATTTTTGGTTGAAATTGTTTAACTTTTCTATTTTTAATTCTGTATGCTTGTTCATGCCCATTCTCAACCGATTGATTTAATCTCATATTTCTTCTAGACTCCTCTTCTCTTAGAGTTTGTTGAATCTCTTCAATTGTTGCCTCTCTCTTTGATCGTAAGACAATAGCAATATTTTCATACTTTGGATGTATGCCTCTGACAATATGAAATGAAAGTTCTCTTAAGGTAAATTGATGCCCTAATGATGAACTTCTAGCAGCAATATTTTTTGCCTTTGTTATATATTCATCTACAGTTTCATTATCTTTAATTTTAATGTTCTTTAATTCTAAGCCTATATCAATAATTTAATCTTCCAAATTGCCTGTGTATGTTTTTCTCAGTGAGTCCCATACTTTCTTAGCATTTGTTTCTCCTATGAACATTCCAGCTTGTTCATTAGTCAATGTTGTGATGATTATCCCAAAAGCTTCATCATTTTTATCCCTCCAAATCTCCCAAGAACTTTTGTCTCCCATATCAGGTTCTGGATCGGAAATTACACATTTAAATAATTTTCTTCCTCTCAGAACTGCACCTATTTTCAATGCCCATATTTGATAATTCGTTCCTGTTAATGGTTCAATTTTTGTTTGGGATAAAAAATTATATTCAGCCATTTTCGCCTTTTGAGCTAACATAAACAAACCAATATAATTTAAAAACAAATATATATTTTTAATTTAATTAAATATTGGGTAGCTTTTAAACATGCAATATATAGATATAATTTAACTCAATCTATATAAATACCTTTAATCTTCTTAGAAGTGCTTCAGTTTACCGATCAGAATAAACTTCTTGCTTAATCTTCAGATTAAAATATTTTCGCTTTTGAGCTTTATATCAAACAACCACGCTCTGCTACCAATTGTTGACTTTGCTTAGAATTATTAATGAAACTGATTCCAATAATTATTAATTAAACATTATATTTATTGATTTACAAGAGAGAGAACAAAATATAAAAGGGAAACTAATATTGAACAAAGGAACTTTTTTTGTTTCGGTTAGCGCCTATTTACCTGTGAGCTTACACACACTCTGTGGTAACAATTAATTAATATATATACAACAGATTTGTTGGCTGAAATAGAGTTCAGTTAGAAGACATAATTCTTTCCTGCACAGCTACCATGTACTTCCAAGGCTTTTCAAAACAGTCTCTAGGACTGCTGGCTCTGCTCCTAAGACTCTGATAAATGAGATGTAAAGGCATGAGATCACTTTCAAGTTGGCAGAAAATCTTGTATGAATTATGACACACACACACAGTTACTTCTTGGAGGTCTTTACAGATCCAGCAATTATTCACAGTGTCTTCCCTTTTGTTCTTTGTCAAAGTTTTTTTCATCAGAGAAAAACATCAGCATGTTACAAATGTCATGTTTCAGGTCATTGAAGAGTACTTTCTAACCCTTAACACCTTTCCTATCATGATTTCTTTTATATATATATTTGATAAGGCACAATTTGGATTATAGATTATAAACACAAGGTAATAAGACCAAATCCAAATAAATAAATAGTGTGTGACGTTTCGGTAACAGAGTTGTAACCGAAACGTCACACACTATTTATTTATTTATTTGGATTTGGTCTTATTACCTTCTCTTTTATAAATATTAAGTCAGAAACTGGCTATTTCACAGGAATTGAGGCCAAGGGCCTTATGGACAGTTCTGACTTTTTTTTTCATATGGTCAATGTCCATCTTCTTGATGGCCTTCATGCTTTTCCTTTAGTTTACATCATCTATTTGCGCTTTTGGCAAATTCTTTATTTCTTGTTAAATAAACACAAGTGCTTGCTCCCCTTTAAAATATTCCTTTTTGTTAGTATCAGCCTAATAAAACCTTGACCCAACAAAAAGTTTTTTTTTTTTTTTTTTTTTTGTAGCTTAAGAAATTCTACTCTCCTTGGGGGTCCTGATTAGCAATGATTAGAGCTGGTGTATCATATAACAAATGATTGTTTATAGGTATACTGCACACATTTGTGTGTGTATTCTTTGTTTCATGGTCTTCCAATGGTAATTTGAAATATCTTTTTATTCATATACACAACTGACATATTATTAAATTTTATTTATTTATGATTGAATATTGCATTCTGGTAAAGTTCATTCTTTTAAATACTATTTCAGGGCATAGTGTGGAAAAATTCCAAATGTAAGTTAAAGTTTATCTCATAGTTATTTAGAGGGGTCTGGAAAATTTAAAGCTGCGTAGTTGTACTTTTTCATATAGTTGCTCGATAATCATATTATTTATTATTATTCATTAATAAACTGCATCCATTTATAGTGTTACATTTTAAAAGAATATGGTGATTTATATTAAAAATAAATTATTGATATATATGATTTTTCTCCATTTTATAATCTGCCAAAGACTGTTCCAATTTACTTACTTAGCATATGATATATAAATATCTTGTAGTGATCAATTGAGACTAGATATTTCTCCATCTTCACATCTTAAAATTAGTTTTCTACATATTTCAATATCTTATTCACTTACAATTCCTGTTGTGTGTAGTCTGAAAGTCTATTACAAGACTGGTCAGAATTCAGACTGAAAGAACAGGTAAGTTTACATTATATCAATTTCCTTTCTGTTTCCTAAATGTCTAAATTTTTCTTAATGAATACCATTGTAAAGAAAAAATTTTTTTTTTTTTTATATTATATGAATAGGTAATTTTTTAAAGAAATATTATATATAAATTGAATAAAATTCTAAATTTAAAATTTTCTCAAATAATATATCATGAGGCTATTTAATTAATTTATCTAAATATAAGTTTGATATCTTCCTATAATAATTAATTATAAATATACTGAAAATTTCTAAACAACACAAAGCACACCTTGTATAAGGGACAACAACCTCAAAGCACCAGATTCAAATTTTATAAAGCATCTTCTCTGCTCACCACTAATGGTTGAAGGGAAATTTTAACTTATACTGCTGCTTTTCCTTCAACTAGAAGAAGAGGTATCTAGACATATAATTTTCTCAAGGTTATGTCTTGCCTGATGGAAGAATAATTTTCTGGGCTGTTTATAGAAATAATTGTTTCCCTCAGCAGTCAGAGTGGAAAGGGTTAATATTTACCTAAATAAATTAATTTAAAATGGTGTTGCTTAAGAGTGTCTTACATATATAATTGGTAATTAAAAAGTTTTAACATGTTTGGCACAGGTTTCTACAGGTGGTGGCTTCAATGTCTGTTCAAAAATAATAATCGAAACCTGGGTTTTAAAGCGTAAATTGAAACAGTGATTTGAAAATAATACATTACTTCAATGGCTCTAAGCTTTCAAAAGTTCAACTCAATTTGAACAAATAGCAAAACATGTCTCTATAACAACTCATAGGTGCCAAAAGTTGTGTAGTTACAGTAGAAACAATTGAAAATTCCTAGTTATCAACATATAATATATATAATGTATACATTTTGGTATTTCTGCATCTTCTTCACATGCTATATGATCATGATATGAGAGAGTATGTCCAGTCGGAGCTTCTACAAATCCTGCTGCTGTATGACCAAGTCAAAGCACCTACTGGAGATATGATCATTCGACTTCTCTCCCTCTTCCAGGTTAGGAAATCTCTATCTATTGTCACTGATGCTGAACATTTTGTGCTTCACTTGTAGAGGAATGCCTTTGGGCATCGCCACATTTTCAAAGTTAACCCTCAACTTCACAAGCAGCATTTAGATATAGTAAGGTAAGTACAAATTCCAATTTAAAGGTAGTTTTCACCATGTGTATATATACAAGGGTCACTCCAAAGGTTTTTGCAATCAATATTAAATAATTAAAAAATAAATTATACCATTAAAATAGACATGCATTTTTTACCTAACATACAATTTTCATAAAATAGTAACAACAATGACTCATAGAGGGTGCGACTTTGTTTACAGCAGCAGTGGTAATTTCTAAACATTGCATCAGACACAATGGAGTTGACTAGAGAAAATTTACGTGCTATGATCTTTTTTGATTATAAAACCAATTTAACTTCTAAAGAATCCCCATGAAAGATTGAGGAAAGCTTTAAGAGAGAAAGTTCCTTCTAGTATAACAGTTTTTAATTGGTTTGATGAATTTAAATTTGGAAAACCCAACCTTGAAAATGAACCTCTTTCAGGTCGACTACCAATGGCAGTGACCCAAGAAAAAAATGAGCTGGTAAGATTTTCACTTAGAGAAGATCGAAGATTTACGTATCAGCAGTTAGGGAAAAGTGTGGGCATTGGATCGACAGCAATCAACACCATCATTAATGACCATTTAAAATACAGAAAATTGTTAGTAGATGGGTACCTCACAGTTTGACTGAAGACCAAAAACTTGCTTGCGTTAAATGGTGTAATTTCATATTGAAAAAATTTGATGAAGGCAAATCGAAGGCTGTTTTTGATATTATTACAGGTGTGTGTGACGGAACTTGGATTTACAAT